AGACATCTAGCATGTTCATTAGTGTGCACAAAACCAAAATCCTTAGATTTTTTTCTCATAAATATGCTCTTAGGTTATATGTGGGAATTAAATGTTGAATTAGAAACTGAAATATGATATATATTTCTATACACAACAAAACTGCAACGAACCAAACAAGTCATGTTTTGTCAGCACAATTGACTCCATTTCAACAGATGGAGTCAAGTTTGGCACACAGGCAACCCAAAGACAAGCATCTTATTTGGCTTCGATCACCACAGTGTGTATAGGCTGATCAGCCGAATTTAGTGAAGTTCTTTACACAGCCAGCCGCTGCCAAATGCAACACAAGCTGTGGTTTTCTTACAAGTAGTTCCACTAGTTTCAATATGACTCAGTACTAGTTTAAGTGTGACAAAATCAGATTTTTCTTTAAAGGTCTGTCTGAATCATGCGCCCATTTATCTGATGACACATCCACATGGATAAATATAAGTGCAAATTATTGTTCAGTGCAAAAGTGCTAAGAGATTAGATGAGTGCTGTACGAGGAGGAGACAGTTTTCTCTGAGATAAATACTTTCAGTCAATTAAAGTATTTCATCTTCTTTCACAGTTTCTTTCAGCAAAGGCACTGTAGCTGTTAACAGACCATTGGTGGACATATTGATTACCACATTGAGTCATTATTGGTTTATCGCATCAAAGGAAAGACAGTTGGATGAATGAAGGAGAAGTCGGAGTGTACAAAGAGATTTGTGCCAGCAGATGTTGTATTTTAATTGGGTTAATTAGCTTTTATTGAACTGTTCAATCTGAATAATGGACTTTTAGAAATGAAGAGTTGTACTAAATCTCACTTGCAAGCACTTACATTTCATTTCAAACTGAGCGTTACAAAATTAAATTCAATAAGGATCAATGTCCGCACAAAGCCATGTCAGAAAACTAGCTTTTATCTCTTTTTGTACAGCCGTATATATTTATACCACCAGCCATTGTTCCCTCACTGTGCTTTATGGCCCCTCTGCCTACACACACACACAATCACACACACACACTTTATTATGTGACAAATGAAAGAGGTGACATCTGGCCTTAAGTAGCAGCAGAGTGAGTGATCACAACACACACACACACAGAGGAGATAAGAGTATTGATTGGTGTAGTTGTTCCATGTGTACAGGGATATGTGGCTCCAATCAGCTCAGTTAGTCTTCCTCTATTATCCACGCAGTGCCTGGTCAGTGTCCACTTATTAAGGTTTATTCAATTCACAAAAACAAAATGTAAAGAGTGGATAACTGAGGGAATGTATTCCCCCTTTCTACCCCTTCCTCTCTGTCTTAAAAGGCCCAGTGTGTAGGATTTAGGGGGATACATTGGCAGAAATGGAATATAACATAATAAGTATGTTTTCTTTGGTGTTTAATCACCTAAAAATAAGAATCGTTTTGTTTTCGATAACTTCTAATTTACCTTAACCTTCGTAGTTAATTGCCCCTCTGTAATGAGAGCATTGGAAAAACACTGATTTCTTAACGTGAAACTGCTTTAATCAGTGTTTTTAATGGTTGTTTTGGAGAGGAAGAGACCTCTGCGCATAATTCGACTCCCTGTAAAAACCTCCTTAACCTCTGTGATATTCCAGTTGATCATCTATCACACCAAGACATCTAACACTGTTTAGAAACTATGTTTTAGATGAAGCCTCAAGCGTTTCATGCCATCAAAGACACACACACAAACATCTTACACACAGTCCTCAAGTTGCCTCCTTTCAAAAGCTTTTTCAGACACAAACTCCCAAATGTTCCCTCTCATACCCACACCTCCCACCTGGAACAGACATTAACCGGTCATTATTGTTTCTATTATACTGAGGTGTCGACTCAAGTCACAAATTCAATGACTTTAGACTTGATAAAATGTAAAAAAAAAAAAAAAAGACTTGCAACTCGACTAGGATTGAAACACCAATGACTCTTGACTTCACTTTTACTTCAGCGTCTTGACTTTAAAATTACTTCATACATTCCCCCAAGCCCCAAAATTACAAAGTATGTTATTTAAAAAGTGGGGTACGTGTCAATTAATTTCACTTCAATTTCCCTTCAATTTATTTGTGGTTTTTGTACATTTAACTGATTATCACCTTGTTGTTAAATGGCATTACATTTGGAGAAAAGTGCATTTGACTTGTTTGGGACTCGAAACTCAAAGTTTAGGACTTGCCTGTCTTGACTTGGGACTTGAGTGCAAAGACTTGAGACCTGTTATGCTCATCTTAAATGTTATCCGTATTTACTTTTCATCCTCAGCCTGCCCTCAGTATTACAGAGATAATTCCTTTCCATTTCAAGTCAATTTCCAACTTGTTTGACTTGTTCCTACAGTATGCCTAAACAGTGTTCATACTGGACGCTGTGATCTGAGATTGTGTTTGCAGCTCTGCTTGTTTGACAGATGAGCAAACACAACCAAACATATTGTTTCAGTGCAGTTTAGATGATTCACTTCATTCTAGCTCTGCAGTACGAGACTGATTTTCAACCTCGCGTTCAGGAATGTCACTCTTACACGTTTCCTTTGAATCAGTCGTCTTGTTTTATTAGTGCTAGCAAGCTAACAAATGGCAAAAAGATTTCCTGGTTGATTTTGGAGCTCCCATTGGTTCTCCAATTGACAAATTAAAAGCTTAAAATCCAGGAAAGCTCAGTTTCAAATATTCTCACTACATTAAATATTCATGTCTAAAAATCAAAGTTAAAGTTTTGGGGAAAAATCCTTTGATATTATTTATTAAAGAGTAAGTTTGGTATTTTTCAGCCTGGACCCTATTTTCCCATGTTTTTGTGTCTATATGACCAATGGGAACAACAATTTTTTAAAAATGGTCCAGTATTGAATGAGAATGCTGCAGCCAGCACCTGCGAAACAGGCTGTAATGTAACCACTTGAGGCATGTTGACACCGTCAATGTACGTCCACTTAAAGTGCTTGTTTTTGCCACTGACAGGCTCAAATTGTGACAACATTCTAAAGAGGATCCCTACAGTGATAGACCTTTTTGTTTGAGAATAAGATCCTTTTTATTTAACCAGGGACACACCCAGAATTACCATCACCAAACCCACCAGACTCTATTTAAATAAACAGTAATTTTATCATTGTCAATCAAACTTAATTCAAAGCTGACAGACACAAAATGAAACTCACAAAAAATGTCTTGGTTTGTCTTACCACTGTTCCAACAATCATCAACTCTGGTGTGGTTAAAATAAACCCTTAATTCACTCAGTTAGATGTGAAAATATGCTGCCTCTATACACACTAAAATCACTGTTTATTTAAATGGAGTCTGGTGGGGTTTGACATTAGCAACTTCAGGGCTGTTTCTGGTTAAACAAAAAGGATCTTACTCTTAAACAGAAAGGTCTATCTCTGTAGGGATCCTTCCCATAATGTTGTCAGACTGCAACAACAATCTGAGCCTGTCAGTGGCAAAAAAAAATACTTTTAGTGGTCGTACATTGACATTGTGAACATGCCCCAAATGGTCTGTTTCATTGCTGCCGGCTGTGGCCAATTTAAGAAACTGTTGTCTCCATTAGTCACTTAAACACAAAAACATGGAAAATTAGGGTCCAAGTTGGGAAAAAAATGGAGTAACCCTTCAACAGTTGAAGTCAAAAGTCAAAAACTCAGCTTGGTCAGGTTTGATTGGTTCAGTTATCAACATAAGACTCCTCAACTGTCATCAGATTTTGATCCAAATGCTGCTAAATTCTAAATGGCACATGGAAGTACATGACATCACTTTTCCAACTGAGCCCCGCCCACTTCAAACCAGAGAGAAGTGCACAGAAAAACAAAGTAGAGATCCCCCGAGTAAAATACCAAAAACTGTTCTAACTTTGGAAGAAAATATTGTGTTCATGGGGGACGCCGTCACTGAGAATAAAGAGCTGATGGAGATAATATGTCTCCAGGGCCTTTAAGTGTTGCACTCCGCACATTGTCACACACTCCCACATGTTACATGCCATTCTGTACACACTTCACACACACTACAACAAATGACAGAGACATGAGAGGTGCCTCTCCATCAGGACTGCACGTTGGTGCCCAGGTGTCCGTCCCCGTGGGCCCATTCAGTTCACATGGATATAATCATTAGCATTGTCCAAGAGCAGTGGTGCCTGACCCCCTCTAAACCATCTCGGCCCTGCAGCAATAATGGGAATGCTAAATTGCAATTGTGCATGCAGTGGATTACCAGGCCGGAGGGCACACTGTCAGAAAGAAAGAGACAATGGGAGGGCAATTGACTGGCTTAACTAACACCTGCTTTTTATATCGGCCACGTGGTTTGGGTTAACAGGGGATAAATGTGCCCAAGAAGTCACAGGGGCAGTGTGTTTTTGGTTCGCTCACACCCAAAACTTGACTCCTGGAGGGAATGATTAGTTTGAGCTGACACTAGAGGTGGATTGATTTTCCCAATTAGAAGCTTTAGTGGAGGAAATGAGCCTTGCCGACACCGAGCGTACTGCAGAAAGTGTATCAGCAGTTTCCCCCACGCGATCAATAGCCCCCCTCCTTGGCCGTGACCAAGTGGAGCTCAGAGAGGAAGCAAGTGGGGGGAAGGAGAGGAGAAAGAGATGAGGAGGAGGAGGGGTGGGAAAGGAGGGTGCAAGAGAAGGGAAGCAAAGAGAGAACCTGCATATTTGATGAGTTGCCTCTGGATTGCCTGAAGACTCTCAGCTAGTTTCACAGTTTCAAGTATGTGTAAGTCATACTGCCTTTCATGTAGTTATTCAGGGTGTTTGTCTTTTATCCTTCCAGCTGCAGCAAAGTCAGGCCGTAACTTTTTAAAGCAGGAATGACTGCTTTTATACCTTATACCTTCCTTTATAAAATCAGCACTGGTGGAGGAGCATTGCCAACTGACAAAGTAGACAATGTGAATTTATCTCATTATTAGCAAGAACAGCTGCGTTTCTCCCTCGTCTTACCTGTGGGTCTCATGTAATACGCCTCTATGTCAGCCATGTCCGTGTGCAGAGCACGGTCCAGATAACTGTGGATAACTTTCCTGCTGTAGTAGTAGCGCGCACCCATGAGAATGAGGGGCGTGCAGCAGGTCAGCGTGACGGATTTGGTCACGAAAAAGCACATTACTATGGAGAAATGGAAGAAAAATAAACGAAACCTGTCAGAAAAGAGAATCACATGTTTGATTTTGGCGGAATTTGACCCCACACAGACACAGAAACAAAAGAGCAGAGGTAACATGACATCTTGTAAGCATCAATAAGTGAAGCATCAAATTCTGTCACAATATGAACATTTTCAAAGAGAGACACAAAATGGCAAAGCAGCATTCATCAAACTGTGAAGTAAGGCACATCAGGAGCATGAAATCTGACAGGGTAAAACTTTCAGTACATGTTAGTGTTGAATTCATCAAACCAGTTCAGGCCATACTGGAGTAATTAGTCGGATGTGACGCTGGGGGGCGCACAGTGAAACACAAACAAGCAGGCTGGATGCTGCATAGCATGTTGTTGCGTGGCATGCAATAACCTAGTAGTTAGTTTACTCCACTGCACCCCAGCGTGGTGTCAAACAGCAGCGCGGTAATGTAGAGGGTAGTGACTTGATGGAGCATTGTAACTTTCAATATCATCAGAGACCGCACTGAAATAGAATTTGTTTGGGGGTGTTTACAGGCAGGACTTTAATAATGTGTGCCTTGCAGCCAAATTAACATAGCAGGCTACTTTTTCATGCCAAAACCAAAACAATATTTTCAGAATTTAACAGATTGTTAGATTTTGACGTGCGTAACGCCGCCGGTCACGATACATAAGGCGTTAATCTGCGCCGGCAACATCAACAAAAGCCAAACGAGATCAGTGCATGACTGGCGCATTGGCTGCTGTGCAGAGGCGGAGGGGGGAGCGCGCACACGCACCGCGGGGGATTTTAATGTGTGTGTATTGGAGGGGGTGCTCGGGGGAGCGCTTTTTATGTGGGTATACGTGCGCGCACCCCGTGGGCCAATCCTCAAATTCATTCACTCATTCATTCACGGCACCGGCATGTCATCACATCATCAAGCAGGCCCGCCGGTTATACACGTGCATCATGCGCCTGGCCATGCCTATTGTTGCATGATGAGCAACATGCCGGTGTGTGCCGGCGGAAAGGGAGCCGCGTCGGCACACTGTGGCGCTGCAACAGATTTTAACTTCACTGTGCATCGCCTACAGGGCCGGCTTGTGCTGAGAGATGTGAGGGATTTAAGACAACCTCTTTAAATAAATCAAACTGCAAACACCAAGAGAAAGCGCTGAGATATTATCCTACAATGCGATGTGCTCTTGGACATAAATCCTGGATGTTAGGGATAATGGTGAAGTTGTCTTTAGGGTTAGAAAAGTGTGTCTGAGAGCTAACATAGGAATAAGTAATCCGGGATGCAATATGCAAGGTAATGGTGGTACTTACCTGTCAGAAGAGCATATAAAAACTGGGTCTTGGGCTGCTGCCTGAGCCCCCTAAACGCCGTATTGGGTATCCTCTCCATAATACCCTCGTAAAAGATGCGCCGCACCTCCTCTTGATCCCCGCGCTCGAACTCGCGGATAAAAACCGCATCTTTCCTCACATCCTTGGCTTCGGCGGGGTTCAGAGCCGCGCTGGACGGAGGAGAGCTCCACATGATCGACTCTTTTTTGGTCCCAGGTATAGCATCGTGTTCGTCCGCAACAATTTTAGTCTCGCAAACCATTTTGGGAGACGAAAAATGCATGCAACTGGCCGCAAAAACAACTACAGTTCGGAAAAAAGGGGGGAAGAATGAGAGTGAAAATGGATGATGGCGTGAGATTTTCTTAAAAAACAGAGAAACGATGAGGGGGATAAGACGAAGGGGGATGTTCTGCTGCAACCCTGAGCGTTTCTGACGACCAAGACTTGCCGGTGTGATTCAAGCAGTATTTATAAGCGGGCAGGGCGGGTAGATTCAGGTTCAGGGGTTGGGGTGGTCCTCTCGCTGCACAGATTGGTGGAAACGATGCGCCGTTAAATGCTGATGGACGAGGGAGGAGGGAGAGGCAGACACAGCCGCTCTCTCTCTCCGCATCTGACCAGGCTCGTGTGTATTTTGAGGATGTGGGCCCATGAGAAGGGGGTGTGATAGTGAGATTGCGTAGAGGGGTTGTTTCTGAAACAGGTTTGTCTTCATAATGTCGTGGAGGAGCCCCGGTTTGTTGAGATACCATGGCTAGAAAGGATGCGGTACGCAGCACAAAAGCGCAAGGTAAAGCGGGGGCGATGCGTCAAACAGGAGGAAATAACAGGGCGAGTGCAGCTTAGAAAAAGCTCTTAGGCTGTCTATAAATAAAAACTGGAGCTTAAAATAAGTCATGTTTTAGGGTTATGATTAAATCTGAGGTGAACATAGTTAGATTATCGCCTTGGACTGTGTCTGAGGCGCCAGATCAGTGGACATCTCCGTTGTTGCGCAGATAAACTGGCTACTGTGGGGATGAGGGAATGACAAAGATCCTGATGTGAGACACACAGGCTCATATCCTGATATGAATCGACATTAAAGGGACACCATAAAAGCCTTAAATTCAGCTGGTAGTCGCCCTTATGTGTGCACCACCTCCTCTGCCTGTTGACTGACAGCTCTGCTGCACTGCAGTGATTCCTCCACGGCTTCCCTTCGCTTTGTCACCCTGCTGCTGTCATACATCAGTCTTAACACGGAGATTATATCTCGCCTTGCTGCGCAATTGAAACCTCCCATTAGCGCATCTGTTAGCGACTTGCACTGTTCCCTAAGCACCATGCAGCGACGACAATACCGGCTTTACGCACGACTGTGGCGGCAGCGGTGGCGGTAGTGATGATGACGATGCTCGATCCGGCCCTTTGTTGTCCCCCGACACTCCCTGTAATTAACCGTGACTGTTATTATACAGTCAAGCTTTCATGAACAAAAGTGCTGCCATGATTTGCGCGTACTTTTATTTTGACAGCTTTAGTATAATGATGAGGGGATGACGGAGGCTTAGTTGACATTTCGAGTAGTTTCTCCAACCGTCAAAGGTGAGGAAGATGGTAATAATATGAACTTATAGGATGCTATAGGCTAGTTAAGTATAAAATAAAGTCTGCAGCGCGTTATTGCGCATCACTGCCACGCGGTATTATACTCAAACGAATATTATGCAACACAGTTTAACTTGGCACCGTAGGTAAGGAAACTAGAGTTAGTATTTTCACTGAGGAGGAGATGAAGATGTGTTTTGTCTGTAAGCTCTTTGTGGCAGTGTGCAGCCTCACAGTCGCATATGTAAAGCAGCAGAACTAGTTTGAACTGGATCATCGCGGGGCAACCTGCTATTGATAAGGCTGCATCCACCCCCACTCCCTCCTCCTTAAGGTATCCCCCCTCCCCCCTCCTCCTTGCATGGAGCCGCCGGGAGAGGAGGAGGAGGATGAGTAGGAGGGCTGGCTGATAACCCGCAGAGTTAAAAAGTCCTCACACACTCTGCTCAGCCTGGACATTTCCCCTCTACAGAAAAAAAAATGCGTCGAAAGATGGGTGTCTTCGCATCAGCACCTGCTCTGCAGCGGATCTCACCATGCCGACCGGGTGGAGGATGCTCTGAGCATGCGCAGTGTTCCTTTTTGGTTGACTCCTGACAGTGCAGCCTTCAAGTGCCGTCGGTAATGTCGCAACCATGAAATGAGAGATCACAAACGGCAAAGTTGTGAGCACATCTAATTTTTGAGGATGAAGGAGCAAATGTTGGAAAACAATAATTCATGAAATGCTCCCTAATGAAACAATCAAACACATCCTTATGATATCTACAAATGCTATCCTCTCTATTTTCACTGCAGTAGCAAGTCTGTGCCATGATTTAGAGGATAATACAGCATCCACCAAAACATTATTCTGTCCCATAGTTTTATTTCCATCTTCAGACACAGCTCCACATCAACAACAAAGAACACAATTGAGTGATATATGAATAAAACACAAGGAAAAAACCCTATAGTGGAGGTTGATGGATTTTGCGCATGTCTCTGTGAGAATGTATAAACAGTCTCTGGTTGGGCCTTGTGTTCAAACTGTGCAGTTATAATTGTGATATGTTTTCAGACCTGTAATGAGAGCAGTGGGTGTTTGGAAGTATGCTGTGATTTTGACAGACTGGAGAGGGTGAAGTGAAGCGGACTGAGGCTGCTTAATGCTTGAATATGAATACATACCGCTCTTATTGATACTGAAGGGTTTCCATCGATTGGTTACAAGGGATTTATGGATGATAAGGATGCCGTAAAAAGTTGGGCTTAAGTACTGCGTTGGCAGTCGTCACTTTTGGAGAAAGTGGTGGTATTTGAGCTGGCACTGTCCATTGTGTATACCAAGATGGTGACGTTCAGTAGCGACAAGGGCTGCATCCAAATTTCCATACTAAAGTCACTCTTGAGAACTGGGACAAAACCTTACATTTTTGGGTTCAATTAGGTTGAGAAATTATATTTAAAAGGTGATCCCAGTGATTTATTTTTTTCTTTAGTAACGTATATGATGGATGTCAGAGGTAAGATCTGACAGAGTTGACATCTCAAGAAGTTGACAATAACTTACATATTTATGAATTTCATAGCAGTTGTCATGAGGAGCCATTTTGATTTTCAGAGTTGCTAAGATATCTATAAATGTCCATCAAAATACTAATTTTTAAACCATAATTCTTGTTTAGGTTTGACCTGTTATGGTTGAGACAAATCTGATAGCAATATTATTTAATAAATTTATTAAAAAATAGAAAGCTTACCAGTACTTGAGCAGCAGTCCCACCCTTTTGGAAACAGGAAGTGAGACAGGAGTCTTTAGGGTACAGCTTACTACCTTTATACCTGATTAAATGATGTTTTTGTAGAAATCTGACAGGGTTGACAAAGACCTGGGACACATCTATAAAGGACAAAAAATATATCTAACAACAAAGATGATTATAGCAGTACATTTATACACCAATGTTTCAAGTACAGTACAGGCCAAAAGTTTGGACACACCTTCTCATTCAATGCGTTTTCTTTATTTTCATGACTATTTACATTGTAGATTCTCACTGAAGGCATCAAAACTATGAATGAACACATGTGGAGTTATGTACTTAACAAAAAAAGGTGAAATAACTGAAAACATGTTTTATATTCTAGTTTCTTCAAAATAGCCACCCTTTGCTCTGATTACTGCTTTGCACACTCTTGGCATTCTCTCCATGAGCTTCAAGAGGTAGTCACCTGAAATGGTTTCCACTTCACAGGTGTGCCTTATCAGGGTTAATTAGTGGAATTTCTTGCTTTATCAATGGGGTTGGGACCATCAGTTGTGTTGTGCAGAAGTCAGGTTAATACACAGCCGACAGCCCTATTGGACAACTGTTAAAATTCATATTATGGCAAGAACCAATCAGCTAACTAAAGAAAAACGAGTGGCCATCATTACTGTAAGAAATGAAGGTCAGTCAGTCCGGAAAATTGCAAAAACTTTAAATGTGTCCCCAAGTGGAGTCGCAAAAACCATCAAGCGCTACAACGAAACTGGCACACATGAGGACCGACCCAGGAAAGGAAGACCAAGAGTCACCTCTGCTTCTGAGGATAAGTTCATCCGAGTCACCAGCCTCAGAAATCGCAAGTTAACAGCAGCTCAGATCAGAGAACAGATGAATGCCACACAGAGTTCTAGCAGCAGACCCATCTCTAGAACAACTGTTAAGAGGAGACTGCGCCAATCAGGCCTTCATGGTCAAATAGCTGCTAGGAAACCACTGCTAAGGAGAGGCAACAAGCAGAAGAGATTTGTTTGGGCCAAGAAACACAAGGAATGGACATTAGACCAGTGGAAATCTGTGCTTTGGTCTGATGAGTCCAAATTTGAGATCTTTGGTTCCAACCGCCGTGTCTTTGTGAGACGCAGAAAAGGTGAACGGATGGATTCCACATGCCTGGTTCCCACTGTGAAGCATGGAGGAGGAGGTGTGATGGTGTGGGGGTGTTTTGCTGGTGACACTGTTGGGGATTTATTCAAAATTGAAGGCACACTGAACCAGCATGGCTACCACAGCATCCTGCAGCGACATGCCATCCCATCCGGTTTGCGTTTAGTTGGACGATCATTTATTTTTCAACAGGACAATGACCCCAAACACACCTCCAGGCTGTGTAAGGGCTATTTGACCAAGAAGGAGAGTGATGGAGTGCTGCGGCAGATGACCTGGCCTCCACAGTAACCGGACCTGAACCCAATCGAGATGGTTTGGGGTGAGCTGGACCGCAGAGTGAAGGCAAAGGGGCCAACAAGTGCTAAACACCTCTGGGAACTCCTTCAAGACTGTTGGAAAACCATTTCAGGTGACTACCTCTTGAAGCTCATGGAGAGAATGCCAAGAGTGTGCAAAGCAGTAATCAGAGCAAAGGGTGGCTATTTTGAAGAAACTAGAATATAAAACATGTTTTCAGTTATTTCACCTTTTTTTGTTAAGTACATAACTCCACATGTGTTCGTTCATAGTTTTGATGCCTTCAGTGAGAATCTACAATGTAAATAGTCACGAAAATAAAGAAAACGCATTGAATGAGAAGGTGTGTCCAAACTTTTGGCCTGTACTGTATGTCCTGGTAGTTTTAGATTTTAAAGGCTTTCGATAATTTTTTTAATTGTTTGAAGTTGTAAACTTTTCTCTGGGACAGGGTAAGATTAGAAGTAAAAAAAAAAATAAAATAAAAAGAAAGCAGATCATTAATCATTTATCATTTATTTCATACATGTAAATTCTTAAAAAAACAATATATATATATATATATATATATGTATGTATGTATATTTTGGCAGAACATGATTTGTCCCAGTTTTCAGGAATGGAGGATTAATATCCTGTTTATAGGCTAAAACAGTTTGTGAGATTCTTTTTAGTATGTCTAAAACCTTAGTGACACCAGAAGTATGTGACTTACATATTATTTATAATATGCATATGCATAATATTATCCTTGCAATATAACAGTATTAAATGCAACCAAGGCAGCTCTGTAATGTC